CCCATTTTCCCCTTCTTCGCCCTCCTCCTCCCCTTCCCCCTTCTCTTTCCGTCTTCTTCGTCGTCTCTGCCGCCCAGGCGCGGCGGCTTCCGCCGACCAGGACGACGCCGACGCGGAGGGCCGACCAGGGCGACGATTGCAGATTGTAGCGGTTGTCGGCCTCCTCCTCTTACCCATCCTTTCCTTTCTCTTCTTCCTCGCCCTCCTCCTCCTCCTTGTCCTCGCTTGCCTCCTCCTCCTCCTCCTCCTTGTCCTCACTCGCCTCCTCTTCCTCCTCCTCCTCCAACTCCTCTTCCTCCTCCTCCTCTTCCTCCTCCTCCTTGTCCTCACTCGCCTCTTCCGCCGCTTCCTTTCCTCCGCCGCCGCCGACGAGGACCGACGAGGCCGACGAGGACGAGGACGAGGACGACGACGACGACGACGACGATGACGGCGGCGGCGGCGCGGCACGAGTGGCGAGCGGACAGGTGCTGCAAGGGGGTCCAGCTGTCGCTGGCGGGGCTGGCGCCGTGTAAAAAACTGGGCCCCTTCAAGTTCGGTCCTGTCATGGGGGCCGTAGACATGTGAAAACATCTGCCTTCCGCGAACGCGCTGGGCGCGTGCTGGGTGCCCCCCCCCCTCCTTTGCGTGCAAAGAGCTCCTCCCCCGGAATTGGGTGCCCCTCTGGTGGCCATGAGCACGTGAAAACAAGCGCCCCGCGCGCACGCACCAGGCGCATGTTGGGTCCCCGCCAGCTGGAGATTGGGCCCCCCCCCCTGGGGGGGCTCGTTGTGGCGAGAAGCGCTTGAAAACACATGCCAAACACATGCACGCCGAGACGCATATTGGAGGCCCCCCTCCGCACACGTAGTTTTTACGTGCCAAATTCAGACGCTTACTGCTCGACAGCCTTCTGGTACAGGGCCAAAGGCCCGCCAACACGAAGAAAACCTTGGGCCAGAGGCATTGCCGGGGAACCAAAGGAAGTGCGCATGTGCGTTTGCTTGTGTGTGTGTGTGTTCCGTCATTTCGATTGTTCCCCCAGGGCGTTGGGTGAAATTTCGCGCCCGCCAGCTGACTGGCACCGGCTGACGCCAACGCGCACTTTGGGGACAACACAGATTGGGCCGCCCCAGGCGCAGAGCCGCAACCATGGAACATATTTTGAGCCGCCCGTGGGTGCCTGCGACTGCACCCGCAATCGCAGGCTGGGGAACACTTGTTCGGGGCGGGCGCTCGCACTCGCACCCGCAAGATTTTTGGTCTGCGGCCGATCGCGCAGAGTCTCGGCAGTCTCAGGAAGGATGTGGAGAGAGAACAGGAGCGCCACGCGCGCTTTGAGGGTCTTGACGGGAGCTGCCTCGTCGGGGCATGCCCGGGAGACGGCCTCAACGTCACCCCTGCGGAGAACTGCTATACCCAGGGGTGGCGAGCACGCCCGCACCCAGAGCCTCAGCCCAGCATCCATGCGGCCAGGGTAACCGGCGCATGGAGGAGGTGAACATCCGCAGGTGAGAGGGGACAGCACGAGCCATACCCCATCCAGGACAAAGGGATGGCCAAAATGGCCATGTTGAGGAACCCGCTCAACCAAACGGATTGAGCGACCCGCAGCCGCAATTTGGGAACCTATTTTGGTGGACCGCCCGCGGGCGCCTGCCGCGACCGGGGAACATGTCCTAAGCGGCCCGCGGGCGCCAGCAAGCCGCAACCTGGAGCACATTCGATGCAGCCCGCGGGCGCATGCGCTCGGCAACCGCACCCGCAAGCGCACGCTCGGGAACACGTTCGGGGGGCGGCCGCGCCCGCAACTTCACCCGCAACTGCAAGCGGGAAGCACATTCTGGGTCGTCCGCGGGCGCCCGCGACCGCGCCCGCAACTCAGGGGAGGCCCAACGTACCCAGAACAGACGTACCCTGGAGATGGGTCCTCAGGGCCCACCTCGGGACGCCCAACGGCTGCGTTTTGGCGCCCACCGTGGCTGAACCGTGGCCGCTGCGACACCTCACTGGGAGTGCGTATTGGCTACCCGTAGGGGTGACCTTTCGCCGGAGTGACCTTTGGCGCGGGCACAGTGGGGTCCCCAGATGTCTGAATGCGATGCGATAGCAGCGGCTTGCGCGCTCTGGCTCGGCCTCCCCGCGGCAGCCGAGAGTCGTGCACCAAAGATCATTCTTGCCCAGGGCCACCCGTTCGTGTGGCCGAACGCGTGGGCCTTCCCAGGCAGCAGCTCCCGCACCCGCCACCCGGGCTACGCAGCCCTGGCCGCCCGCGGAGCCCGCACCCCACAAGCACAGTCGCAGCTGGAGACACGTCTCGGGCCGCTCGCGGGCGCTCGTAACTGTATCCACCACCGCTCTACGGTCGGACCGAGGTATGATGTCGAGGTCGGCTCCGGGAGAGTACACCTTAGGCGATGCTTAAGAAAACTTGAATTTTCGGCCAGAATCTCGATTATTCTTAACGTTTCAATGTAAATCCGAAGATTTTAATAGAAATTTTGGGTTTTTAGTCAAGTTCTGAGAGTATGAATTTCTTAACCCATGATTTCTTAAGCATTTCGCAGGGTGTACCCTAGTGTTCTTTCGTGCTTGTTGGGTGTTCTTGTGTATCTTGGGGGGGGGGCACCTTCCAATGCTCTTCAGTTTGGGCCGGCGGAGCGCCTCATATTCTTGAAGGGTGCCAGTCTGTCTCGGGTCGAGCCGTACCCGCAGCCGCACCCGCAGTCGCAACCGGGGGACGCAGACTGGGCCCGCAGGTGGAGGTGCCCCAGCTGCACTTGGGAGCCCTGCCCCAGCGGGGAGGAGGGGGCTTGGAAGGTATGAGCCCGAAGCTCGCCTGCGCGCGCCCAGAGGGTTGGTGCAAATCCCGATCGACGGCTCATCATAGCAGTCGTCATCGAAGACGGAGGGACTTCTCAGAAGCCCCTCCGGCCTTCTGAGAAGTTGTCCCGTGTCTTCGGGGAGGGCTCAGGAGACTTCTAGGAAGGCCGGCAGGACGTCCGGGCCTCGTGAGAAGGCCCGCCCCTTTCTCATTTCCCCCCCCCCTCGCTCGCCGCCGAGTTTGGGGCGCGCGGCGAAGAAAATCACAGCAGTCTGGGTGTCCCAGACGACGGCCAGGCGCGGGGTGGACTGGCTGGGCGGCGCGCCGCCAGCGGGGCCGTGGAGTGGCTCGAGTCGCAGGGCCACAAGGCCCGCAGACGGGCCAACGGCGATGCAGGCAACGGCGATGCAGGTTTCGGTAGTGTGGGAACGCGATGCTCGCGCTTTCCTACCAATCACTGTGTCGTGTTCGCTCGATCCATTCGCAGGTTGGACATGTAGGAAAGTGTGGTTCGTGATTTCCTACCATCTGGTTTCCAACATCGCCGTTAAGTAACATCGCCGTTAGCCTGGCTTTGGAAGGTGCTGTCCGAGAGGGGCACTGGGGGGAGCAGCTGGTCCTCGTTCCGCGAGGTGATCGACTAGACGTCAGTCGAAGACGAAACAACGCCATACACATAAACTTTCGGCGCTCCGCGCGGATTTCTTGGATCTGCGCTGAGCCCCCCTGGCGGCGCCTCTGGCGCCGCTCCTGGCGCGCTCCGCGTGCCAGGGAGGGGGGCCCAGCGCGGATCAAAGAAATCCGCGCGGACCGTCGAAAGTGTATGTCTATGCAGTTTTTCTTCTTCTAGTCAGGGTGACCTTGCGCCGGAGTGACCTTTGGTGCGGGCCCATTGGGGTCCCCTGGTCGCCGAGCGCGACGCGGTACTAGCGTCTTGCGCGCTCGTGTGTGCTTGGGCCCCCCGCGGCCCCCCCAAGAGCCGCGCACCAAAGGTCGCTCTCACCCAGGGTCGCTCCTGCGTGTAGCCGAGGTGAAGGCCGACAGTGGCGAGTACTTCGTCAAAACATCCGGCAGGCCCGCCGCCGCGATGTTCGAGGGGGAGGCCAGGGGGCTTAGGGCCATGGGCGCTGCCGGCAGCGCAGGGGGCGTGAAGGTGCCAGAGGTGCTCCACTTCGGCGACGACCCGCGCGGGGGTTCTTTCATCATCATGGAGAAGCTCGACATGGGCGGCAGGATGGACATGGGCGAGTTCGGACGTGCGATGGCAAAGATGCACCTGGCGGAACCACTGGACAAGGAGGCGAAGGCGGGCAGCTTCGGCTTCCCGCTGGACAACACGATCGGCGGCACGCCGCAGAAGAACCCGTGGACCAGTGACTGGCCCGAGTTCTTTCGGGAGCACCGCATTGGCTTCCAGGTCAAGCGCGCCCGCGATTCGGCCCTCACGGGCATGTGGAACAGCGTCTTGGACAAGACCGACGGGCTGCGCGACCTCTTCTCGGACGGCGAGGTTACCCCTTCGGTGATCCACGGCGACCTGTGGAGCGGAAATTACGCAGGCAGCAACCAGGGCCCCACCATTTTCGACCCCGCGACCTATTACGGTCACCACGAGGCCGAGCGGGGAAAGAGAGAGAAGGAGGAGGAGGAGGAGGAGGAGGAGGTGGTGGAAGAGGGGAGGCAGCGTCGGCTAGACACCTATGCCGCCAGCTCTGAGGCGGAGGAGGAGGGCGCGGAGGAAGAGGAGGGCAGCAAGGCCGAGTGGGGGATGGCTTGGTGCGCCGGCTTCAACGGTCAGTTCTGGGCCGGCTATCGCGAGGTCATCCCGAAGGCCCCTCTCTTCGAGAAACGGCGCGCCCTCTACGAGGCGTACCATTTGATAAACCACTACAACCTCTTTGGAGGCGGCTATTTGTACCAGGGCATTGGGTCGTTGGAGCAGCTGCTTTGACCGTTTTTCTCGCGTGCACCGCCGTCTCCAAAAAGCGGTCTCACTTTCGGTGACGTTTCTGTTTCTCTGTTTTTGTCTTTCTCTCTCTCTCTCTCTTTCTATCTCTCTCTCTTTCTCTCTCTCTCGTTGGGGGGGGAGGGGAAGGACACTCCCCCGCACCCGGGGAGCAACCAGGCCCGGGCAAGGCAGCTGGCGGCGGCTCCCCGGCGCGAAACCACACCGGCCCGCGTGCGACAAGAACGCCAGAACATTAGGAGGCAAAGGAGGAGGAGGAGGAGGAGGAGTAGGAGGAGGAGGAGGAGGAGGAGCAGGAGGAGGAGGAGGAGGAGGAAGCGGGAGGAGCGGCCAGCCGGGGGGAGGGGAGGCAGGGGCAAGGGACGGGGGCGGTCGGAAGGCGGCGGTCGTGGTGGTGGACGTGATGGTCGTAGTGGGCGTGGGGGCGGCGCATCACAGCTTACACCGCATAGTTTTCACCTCTAGCCCACACCACACATATTACACGACAGAGCTTATGTCACATAGATGATTCCGCATAGCGTTCATCACCGGAGCTCACACCACGTAGCTTACACGAAATAGCTTGCACGGTATGGCTTGCATAGCCTCTCTTCCACGTCCACAGTGCCAGAAACCACTGTTTGATACTCGCACACTTATGTACGTATGTTTTGGTTTTAATTTGTGTGTGCCAGCGTGGGCCCCAAGCAGCTTGTTTCTAGCAGTACGTGGTGTGCAAACAATGTTGTGCAATCTACGTGGTGCAACCGATGTGGTGCAATACATGTGTTGCAATATGTTGTGTGCAGTGTGTATGGAACATCCGATGTGCTGCAAACTGTACGAAACCACTTACGTGTTGCAATATATGCGGTGCAATTTATGGTGTACAACTAGTGTTATACTATACACGACGTGCTATTCATGTTGGCTACCTACGTGGTGCAATGTACGTTGTGCAACCTATGTGGTGCAACATGTGGGACAATGCACGAGGAGCAATACATGGGGGGCACTTTTTGGGGACAACCTTTGTGGCGCAACCTGTGTTGTGCAAGTTACGTTGTGAAATAGATGTTGTGCCATCGGTGCGGTGCAAACTATGTGATGGAGTTTATGTTCTGCAACCTACGTTGTGCAAGCTATGCTGTGCAACCCGCGTGGCGCAATCCATGTGTTGCAGTCTACGGTGAACAACGGGTGTGGCACAATATGTGTATATATATGTACATATACATAGGTCGAGCCATTTGTGCGGTGCAATCTGTGCGTTGCAGTTCACTTTGACCGTCTTGAAGCTGTCCTCTCCGCTGCTCGTGCAAACATCCCACCCTCCCACCCGCAACTTGGTCGCAAGACTTCTTAAGACAAGACCGTGACGGTAGGTACCACATGGCACTTGGCCACGACACCGACGCCAACGACGACAGCGACAACGACGACGACGACGACGCCGCCGACGACAACGGCGACAACGACGACAACGACGACAACGACGAGGGAGGAGGGAGGACGGCGACGACGCGAACGACGAAGAAGGAGGAAGGACGGCGACGCCGACGACGACAACGACGAGGGAGGAGGGAAGACGACGACGACGACAACGACGACGACGACGACGACGACGACGAAATAGGAGGGACGACGACGAGACGCCGACGACGGACAACGACGACGAGGGAGGAGGAGGAAGGACGACCACGGCGACAACGACGACGGAAACTACCACGACGCCAAAGAGGACGACGACGACGAACGCGAGGAAAGACAGGACGACGTAGGCGACGACGACGACGACGACGCGGGAGGAGGGAGGACGGCGACGACGACGACGCAAGAGCGCGCGCGCACGCTTTTGTTGAAAATCCGTGTTGCGAAACCTTAAGTTTTTGTATGTTTTTTGGACACACGATGTTGAAATCCTTCCGAAACCGAAGGTTGTTGAAGGATTTCGGCATGCGTGCAAGACGACGCGCGCGTGCGCACTTCGTCCTGTTTTTTGCAGAGGATTCTCGCGACGGCACACGCGCAAGGGCGTTCGAAAGATTTCGACATGCGCGCGCGCGAAGCCCGCTTGGTAGCATTTTGTGAAAATCTTGAAAACTCATGGTTCCCCTAAGATTTCGCAAGAGCTCGCGCGTAAGCAATTTTAGCAAATCAGCGTTTGCGAAACACTGGGCTTTTGTATGTTTTTGGGAACTCGATTGCGGAATATTTACGGCGCCGAAGGTTTTTGGAGGATTTCGGCATGCGCGCGCGACGACGCGCGCGTGCGCACTTCGTGTCATTTTTGCAGGGGGTCCGTGAAACCGTCTTATGTCAGAACAAAAAATGGTCCCGCATATCGTTTTTTGTATATAAAAATATAAGAATAAAAAACATATATTCAAGGGAACAAAAAAATACAAGGGAACCTCAGGGGGTCGATACTGGGTCCCAGGATAGTGCAAATTCATATTTAGGATGGACATGTGGTCGGAATCATATATGATGTACATACCCGAAAAGGGGTACGGATAACGCCGGGGGGGGGGGTAGAGTCGACTCTTTTTTTCAGAAAGGAGAATCAATGTCGTGCAACGTATACTGTGTACTCTTTGGGGTACAGTGTATGTGGTGCAATCTACTTTGACCGTCTTGAAGCTGTCCTCTCCGCTGCTCGTGCAAACATCCCACCCCCCACCCGCAACTTGGTCGCAAGACTTCTTAAGACAAGACCGTGACGGTAGGTACCACATGGCACTTGGCCACGACACCGACGACGACGACGACAGCGACAATGACGACGGCGGCGCCGCCGACACCGACGGCGACGACACCGACGACGTCTCCAACGACTTCGACGACGACAGCGACCACGACGACGGCGACACCAACGACGACGACGACGCCGACGACGACGACGATGACAACGACGACGACGACGCCGACGACAACGACGCCGACGACGACGACGATGATGACAACGACGACGACGACAACGACGCCGCCAACGAAAACGACGACGAGGGAGGAGGGAGGACGACGACGGCGACAACGACGGCAACGACGACAACGACGAGGGAGGAAGGAGGACGGCGACGACGCGAACGACGAAGAAGGAGGAAGGACGGCGACGCCGACGACGACAACGACGAGGGAGGAAGGAAGACGACGACGACGACAACGACGACGACGACGACGACGGCGACGAAATAGGAGGGACGACGAGACGCCGACGACGGACGACGACGACGACGAGGGAGGAGGAGGAAGGACGACCACGGCGACAACGACGACGGAAACGACCACGACGCCAACGAGGACGACGACGACGAACACGAGGAAAGACAGAGGACGACGTAGGCGACGACGACGACGACGACGCGGGAGGAGGGAGGACGGCGACGACGACGACGACGACGACGACGACGCAAGAGCGCGCGCGCACGCTTTTGTTGAAAATCCGTGTTGCGAAACCTTAAGTTTTTGTATGTTTTTCGGACACACGATTTTGACATCCTTGCGAAACCGATGGGTTTTGGAGGATTTCGGCTTACGCGCGCGACGACGCGTGCGTCTGCATGTCGTTTCATTTTTTGCAGAGGATTCTCGCGACGGCACACGCGCAAGGGTATTGAACGGATTTCGACATGCTCGCGCGCGAAGCCCGTTAAATAGCTTTTTGTGAAAATCGTGAAAAACTCATTTAAAAAATCGCAAGAGCTCGCGTGGATTTTATATATATATATATATATAAAAAAAAAAGTCAGTGTTGCGAAAACATGAGTTTTTGTATGTTATTCTTTGGGAAACTCGACTGCGAAATCCTTCCAGCACCGAAGGTTTTTGAAGGATTTCGGCATGCGCGCGCGACGACGCGCGCGTGTGCACTTCGTCCCACTTGTTGCAAGGGATTCGCGAAAAAGTGCTATGTTAGAACAAAAAATGTCACCGCATATTGTTTTTAACCGGGGGAACCTCAGGGGGGGCGATACCGGCTGGCCTGGGACATTGCGCTGTCATATTTAGGATGGACATGTGGTCAGAATCAAATACGAGTTACATACCCGAAAGGGGGGGGCGATAACTCCGGGGGGGGTAGAGTTTATTCTGTTTTTTTTTTTTTGTGAAAAGAGAATTAATTTCTGTTTGCAGTGAGTTGTCCACTCCACTGCTCGCGCAAGCATCCCACCCGCCCGCCAGCAACTTGGTTTGCAAACCTCATGCGGCGGCGATTGCGATGAGTGCTTGGCGCCAGCCGGTGCATTTCTGCGGCCGCGCCAGCCCGCACATGCGCGCGCGCAGCGGCCAGGTAGTTTGGCGCGACCGACGCGGCCGCGGTGGTGCTGACCGCTCGGCACATCCAGGCGGGCACTTGAGTGCGAGTCGGCGACTTAGGCGGGCGCGGTATCATGGCAACGTCGACAATTCTAGACACGATGATCATAGGAGCGATGTTGATGACGATGGTGACAGCGACGACGGCGCGGCCAGTGACGGCGCCGATGCCGATCACGTCGACGACGATGACGGCGTCTTCGCGTCGGTGATGAAGGTTTTGAAAGGAATTCGAAATGCGCGCGCGGCAAACGCGCGAAAGTGGCTCGCTTGGTATTATTTGATACGGACCTTACCACCCCAGCGCGTGCGCAAGGGCGCTCGTACGATTTCGACACGGGCGCGCGCGAAGCCCGTTTGGGAGCACGTTATGAAAATGTTGAACAACTTATTGTTCTTGTAAGGGATTCGCTAGAACGCGCGCACGCTTTTGTTGAACATCAGTGTTGCGAAACCTTTTGTTTTGGTATGTGTTCTTTGGCACTCGAATTTGAATTCTTTCCGAAACCAGAACGGTTTTGGAAATATTCCGGCATGCGCGCGCGACCACGCGCGCGCGTGCATTTCGTTTGTTTTATGCAGAGGATTTGCGACGGCGCGCGCGCGGGGGCGTTCGAACGATTTCGACATGCGCGCGCGAAGACCGTGTGGTAGTATTTTCTGATCGTTTATAGAACAACTATGTTGTGCTTACGATATCGCAAGAGCGCGCGCATGCTTCCTGGGAAATTCCGCGTTGCAGATTTTTAATCAAGAAAACAAGCTTCTTGGACACTCGATTTTGGAATCCTTCCGACACCGGAGGTTTCTGAGGGATTTCGGCATGCGCGCGCGACGACGCGCGCGCGTGCACTTCGCCTCTTTGTTTTTTCTGTTGCAAGGGGTTCTTGAAAACTTTTGATTATTTCTAGCGAGCGCGCGCGCGCTGT